ATAGCCATTTTTGGCTGTTGGAGGAGGGGAAGAAACGCGTCAAAGTTATGGCGCGGTATGCATAACGCGTCCCGGCGTTATACGACGGGATGAAGCCCATGGGGGCGGTGTTTAACGCCTTCCGACGTTATAGTCGACCATCACGCCGGTGGGCGTGAAGACTATTACCACTGCTCTAACTCCTCTAATGTAACCTCTGAATAGTCAAAAAATCAAATACCGTGGAATAGGCGATGAAACGAGGTTAACTTTTGTTTTGGACCATGCTACCCTTACACCAAAAAATATACCCCATTTGTACACCACAGGCTTGCACAAACATTTCGATGGTTTATACCTACACAAGTGTTGGTGCGTTAATAAATATTCACACGGACTCAAATGTTGGTGCGTTTAACAAAAATTAGTTTTACACCAACACAAAGTGTTGGTTTTGTGTTGGTGCAAAACTGCGGGGTACAAACCTTGGGATACACATAGCATAATCCTTTTGTTTTTCCTCTCTACCCTTCTCCGTTTTTTCCCTTCTTTCTTCCAGGCTCCATCGCGGCTCATCTCTTCATCAGCGGTTCACTTCTTTATCTCCAGCCGCACCTCTTCCTTTTGTTTCCGATTTGTTTTCTTTTTTGTTTTTTTTTTTTTGTTTTTTTTCGTTTTTTTCCTTTTTCTACTGTTTTTTACCTATTTTGTTCTGTTTTTTTGCTCCGTCTCTTTTCAGGTTTTTTCTATTTCTTTTTTCGTTTTTTCTTTTTGCTGTTTTTTTCCTTTTTTTGATGTTTTCTTTACTGTTTTTTTTGCCTTTTTTTCATGTTTTTTTTCCTATTTTTTTCTGAGTTACTGCTGTTTTTTGCTATTTATTGAAATATCATTTTTGCTTTTTTCTTCTTTTTTGCTGTTGTTTGCTATTTATTGAAATATGATGTGTTTTTTTTGCTGTTTTTATCCAAAAATTTTTATTCTATTTTTTTTCACAATTTATTGAAGTTATTGGTGCTATTAATATGAGTTTTACACATTAAAGTGAAATGTGCTAAATTTTTAGGTTCTGATTTGTGGCATATGATATACTTGATTTTCTCTAATAAATATTCAAACAAGGGTATTAAGGTAATTTTATTGTTTTACCTACCTTATATTACCTAATAAATATCCAAACACAATTTTTTAATTTATTATCTTACTTTACCTACTTTCTATTACTATACCTACCTTCAATTACCTATCATTACCTACTTATTAAAAATTTTTACTTACATCAAACCAAACACAGCCTTAGTTATAAAGGAGCATTTTGCGAACATCCTTTAGGTCTAGATGATAGAAAATACTAGAATACCTTCTATTTGACTCACATATAACAAATATTTTTGACAGAGGACTATTTAGCGAATACATCACATTTACAAAAGAACACATTCATAGTTATTGCTTATTTAAAACTAATTTAGAAAGATACTCCCTCCGTTCTGAAATATTTATCCCACTTACTATTCACACAGTCAAACTTTAATCACTTTCTTTACCTATTTTCATTAGGTATTTGATAAAATAATATAGTCTTCTCACTACTTGTTTTGTAGAACTTTTGATGTAGTTTTTTAAATATATAAATTTTATTTTTTTTATTTTACACCTACAATTAAATAAATTGAATTAAAAATAAAGTCGGTCAAACTTCGTAAACAGAACCAGAAAAAACATTATAGGACGGAGGGAGTACCTTTTTAAAAATGACCTTTTTGAAAATTTACTATTTTTAAAAGATACTCCTTCCATCTCCAATTAAATTACATTTTTTTCTCTCTGCTCTCGATAACTTTTATTTGTTTACGCGATTTCATTAAATATTTGAAAAAATAAAATATTTTTTTTACCTCTTATTTTGTAGAATTTTTAACGTAGTTTTTAAATATATAATTTTTATTTTTTATTGATATACTGATTTACAAATAAAATAATTTTCAAAAAGTAAGATATTTCTTCTCGTAAATCCCAATTTGTAATCAAGGGAGGGAGTATATAAAGAAAAATGAAAAGAAAATATGATGGCATGTTTAAGTAATTGTCGGGTGAGCGTGACAAAGGGTCTCCAATAATTGTACCTTATTTTATTCATGATGGTAGATTGGTAGGTAGCGACTAGTGCGTACGTGCCTTCATTCAAATACTCTCTAATCCCATAATATTTCTACAACCATACTAGGTGAGCTATTTGTTTCAGCCTCTTAATGGTTCAGATGTCTGAATGATTCAGCACTTAATGGTTCAGACTGTTTGTTTCAGCCTCTTAATGGTTCAGATATCTGAATGGTTAAGAAATTTGCCTCTGAATGGTTAAGTATTATACAGAGTCTGAATGGTTAAGAGCTCTTATCTGAATTGATCAGACATTTGCCTCTGAATAGTTAAACAAAATACTAGCTCTTAATGGTTCAGACCTCTTACTGGTTCAGCACTTAATGGTTCAGACCTCTTACTGGTTCAGCACTTATCCATTCAGAAGTTATCAAACAGCCCCTAAGAGTATATGAATGAGTGTATTTTAAAATATACTCCGTACATAAAAAAAAAATGAAGGTGTAAATTCTGATGTACTATTTGTGGTACATTTTTTAAGATACAAGTAGCTT